GTTCACTGCTAGTATATGAAAATACAATCTATTTTTGTACATTATCCCTGGGTCCTGTGACTCTGTTAACTTAACCTAGTTAATTAGTCCAACTAGCTTTTTATTGATACCTGGGGAGTTCCCAAATAATTATCTCATCTCTAAATAGAGACAGTTTTACCTCTTCTAACTAGTCTGTCCTGACCTTCTTTCCCTTACCTGACTACACGTGAGGATGCTCAGTACAGCATAAATAGGCTGGTGAGAACAAACACCTTCATCTCACCTCACCCCCAGTGTCAGGGCAGCAATCAGTCATAAATTCACTGTTACAGTACATTTTTTTTTTTTTGTCGGTCATGGGGCTTGAACTCTGGGCTTGGGCTCTGTCCCTCAGCTCTTCAGCTCAAGGCGAGTGCTCTACCACCTGAGCTACAGCGCCACTTCCGGTTTTCTGGTGGTTTATTGGAGATAAGTCTCACAGCCTTTCCTGCCCAGGCTGGCTTTGAACCATGATCCTCAGATCTCAGCCTCCTGAGTAGCTAGGATTACAAGCGTGAGCCACCAGTGCCCGGCTTTGTTACAGTACATTTTATAAATACCTTCTGGCGGGGTGCTGGTGGCTCACACCTGTAATTCCAACTAATTAGGAGGCGGAGATCTGAGGATTGTAGCTCAAAAACAACCCCTGCGGGGCTGGGAAGGTAGCTCAGTGGTAGAGCTCTTGCCTTGCATGCATGAGGCCCTGGGTTTGATTCCTCTGCACCACATAAGGAAAAAGAAAAAAAGCCGGAAGTGGCGCTGTGGCTCAAGTGGTAGAGCGCTAGCCTTGAGCTGGAGAGCTGAGGGACAGCGCCCAGGCCCAGAGTTCAGGCCCCACAACCAACACCAAAAAAAAGAAATAATTGTGAAGATGACCAATGTCACGCTGGCCAGAACGCTGTTCCTAACCTAGAGCTAAAGACACAGAATTCTGAGAATTCGAGGGAAGCTAAAACCACACTGTAAGGACCTACCTTTGGACCTAGAGGACAAGGCTCCTTACAGAGGGGGTGGGAACAGGCCAAAGTAGCTACGTGCTGGCCAAAAGCAGGCAGACTCTGGGACTAGGACCACTCACACTCTAGTCAGCCGGACTCCTGGAGTTAGCTGGAAGTCTGTTACACAAAGCAGTGGGGCAGACTAATGCATGCAAAGAGTGTCCACAATACTTCCTGAAGAAAGCCAGATCACAAAGGGGGCAGCGCCACCTAGTGGTATCCACATTCAGAACCCATAGTGCTGGGTCACACTGTCCCAAATGATGGCAAGGCCTACATATAAACTTATATATTGAATTGTAATCCTTTTGTACTATTAAAGACAATAAAAAAGTAATTTTTAAAAGTGAAAAAAAAAGATCAAGGCACTATCTGAGGATCGAAGCTCAAAGCCAGCCTGGACAGTTAAGTCCATAAGACTCTTAATTCCAATTAACCACTAGAAAGCTGGAAGTAGGAAGTGGTACTATGGCTCAAGTGGTAGAGCTGAGGGACAGGCCCAGAGTTCAAGCCCCATGACCAACCCTCACACACACACACACACACTAAAAAAAAAAAAAAAAGGAAAACCTGAGAACAGGGACAGGAGGGGGAAAATGCAGGGAATGGTGACACTGACCAGGAAGCACTGTTGTCATAACCTGATATATGGAATTTTAAGTAGCTCCTTTGTACAACCACTAAATCATAATTTAAAAGGGGGAAGTGACTGCATGCCAGTGGCTCATACCTGTAATCCTAGCTACTCAGGAGGCTGAGATCTGAGGATTGCAGTTAGAAACCAGACTGGTAGAAAGTCCGTGAGGCTTTTATCTCCAATTAACTACCAGAAAACCAGACGTGGAGCTGTGGCTCAAGTGGTAGAGCTTTCACCTTGAGCTAAAAAGCTAAGGAACAGTGCCCAAGTCCTGAGTTCAAGCTCTAGTACTGGTCCAAAATTATACATACCAAGGCCACACTCCTAGGCCATTCATGCATCTACTTCCAAGCAGCTTTCAGAATGGGTCCCTAAAGTGGCAGTCATACATACCTATTCATGACTTGCCAGTGTGTTAATGTGCAACTCCTCCTTCTGGGACACAGCAGGGGGCCCAACTCCTCAGCTCCTACATTCCTCCCACCCATTCCAGCACCACATTCAATCTCATTAGGCACAGAAAGGTCCAACAGCTGCCTTAACACTGCTCATCTTCCACTCCCAAGAAAATAAAGAAGAGGAAAGAAACTTTAGGATTGAAAGCATGGTTCAGTTGGTAGAGCGCTAGCCAATGATGGATAGCATCAGAAACCAAGTTCGAGACCTAGTCTCAGACCAAAAAATAAAAATGTAAAGAAATCATTTTCTCCCAACTTATGAAGTCTGGGCTTGATTTTTTTTGTTTGTTTTGATGGAGACATTTTGTTTTGTTGGTAGGTAAGTTACCTAGACTGGCATGGAATTTCTGGGCTCAAGCAATCCTCCTGCCTCAGCTTTCTAAGTAGCTGGGACTATAGGTAAGCCACCATGCCTATCTTAAAGTTGAGACCTTTTTTTTTTTTTTTTTTTTTTTTTTTTGGGTCCGGTAGTGGGGCCTGAACTCTGGGCCTGGGCGCTGTCTCTCAGCTCTTCAGCTCAAGGCTAGCGCTCTACCACTTGAGCCACAGCACCACTTCCGGCTTTTTTCTTTTTGCTTATGTGGTACTAAGGAATCAAACCCAGGGCCTCAAGCATGCAAGGCAAGTGCTCTACCACTGAGCCACCTTCCCAGCCCCAAGTTGAGACCTTTTTATTCCTCTTCTTGATGCTGTGACAAGAGGCACATATGATCTGAACTCAGGGCCTCACACATGCTATGCACATGCCCTGGCAGCCCCTCAAGCTCAACATGATACTTATGAGAGACCAAATTTATATCTGCATCCTACTTGTGTGCAGCCCAAGCCTCCTGAAGTCAAGGCTAGCTGGAGGACAATTTGGACATGTGTGGGGCTGCACAAGGAGATTGGCAGGCAGCACTGGGGCTTCTAAGATACTAGGTCTCCACATGGGCCCACAGAACTGCAGTACAACAGGTGAAGTACAAGAACTTTCCCCAAACAAAATCCACTTCCAGGGTGTTTCAGGAGACAAGGGCCAGAACAGGTTTTGCGCCCTCAGCCTCCCAGAAAGCCAAGTCAGATCATAAACATCCCTTAAGAACAGGATGTGATCCTGCTGGCTAGGCACAGCCCGAGACAGGAACAACACTATGCTCCTTGGCCACAGGAGCAAGGCAGCCACCTGAGGGAGGGGTGTCTCTTCACCTGGGGAAGGTCTATCACCTTGAGAGATTCTTGACATCTTGGGGTCTCTCCACTTGAGGGGGAAGCCATATACTTTTCTTGGGTGACCGTACCAGCATTTCTGCTGTTTAATTGTAGATGGAGTCTCTTGCCCTGACTGGCTTGAAACCACAATCCTCTGAGATCCTCTGATCTCAGTCTCCTGAGCTGCTCTGATTATAGGCAAGAGCCACCAGAACTTAGCAGATCCACTTCCCTCAATGAAGACAAAGAGCAACACAAAATCTAGCTCCTCTATTCTGCTCAGTCCTAGAAGGGACACAGGCAGTCCTACTCAGGACCTGGACCTAGACAGTGGGGAGAACACAAAATATGATGCACAGGGCTACCTACAGATCAGCCGCGCTTACAACAGGCCCTCAGGCATAGAAATAGCTGCAAAGGGCTCAAGGAGAAAATCGAAGTTCCAGCTGGCTATGGAAACCTATGTTACTCTGGCTAGAATGATAGCTCCTAGTGTCTGACACACAGTGCCATGTGGCAGACATTGGGCATACCAGCACACCAGTGTTGATGGCTGGTCCAGACAGGCACAAAAGCCTGTGATCTTCCTCATAAGAAACAAGGCCCAGAGGTTTCTGGCCAAACCAGAGCAGCGCCAGGAGCATCAGGGACACTTGTGGGTAGTTAACTCTCACAGAGAAGAGAAGGAAACACCCAGCATCAGCCTGGTAGGCCAGCCTCCAGGAGCTTTAGTTCTGCAGGTAGAATTCAAAGGAGAACAAAAAAACTGCACCCTGTGACCTCTCAAGGCAAAAAGTAAATGAAGAGGTATTGTCAAGTGACAGAGAACTGAAGCCACACTGCTATGGGAAGGTGGCAGCTTTCTGAGCCAGTGATGAACACTGTAATTAAGGACAGCTCAGCCCTGTAAGAAAGTCTCAATCCTGGCCTCATTTCCCAGAACAACAGGAAAGATAACCAGGAGGCTCTAAATCTTAAATCCTGAGTAAACAAAACAAATGCTATAGGCCTGTGCCCACGCTCAATGGCTCATCAGCCCTCCACCTCCCTGAGACCTGGAACACAGGGGTCAGTCTGCAGGTCACAGTGGAAGGGCAGGCAGAGCCTATGCTAGAGAAGATAAGCAGTGTTCCCCAAAAGAACAGAGCAGTGGACAGAAGAGATAGGTAATGAAAATATAACCCCTGTTTTGTGCTTTGGGGCAGGCCACACAACAGCTCCAACCTACAGCCCACTCTGCATCCCTCCACCTACCTGCTGCCAATCAGCAACACAGGCTGCTACAGGGGCCAGAGTGGAACAAGAATCCTCCACCATTATGGGATTCCTTAGTCCTAAATCTCAGTTCATCTCTAGTGATTACCATCACCTGAAAGGAATGACTATCTCCAAAAGCAATTACTTTTCTCAACACACATACAATCTTATAACAGTATAGGACAGACACTGGCTCCCCTCTGCTATAGTTTCAACAAAGGTGTTATTAAGACTTGAACAAGACTGAATCACTCAGCTCCATTTCCCTCCTGCTGTCAAAACACCAGGTTAAACCTGGGTAGTATGGAACAAAAGCTCCCGCCCCCATTCACAGAGAGAAAAGGACTCCAAGTGAGGAGCTGAGGCTGCCTGCCAGAGGCAGAATCACAGTAGAAGCTGTCTGCCAGAGGGCTGGGGTGGGGGCAGCAGCCAACATACCTGAGGTTCAAGCCCATGGTCTGGTCCAATCTCTCCCAGCTCTGCAGCTTTACCAGCAGCTTCTGAAAAGACAACAACAGCTATGTCCCCCCTTCACCACTGACCAAACAACCATCATCATGTAAAACTGACAATGACAATGGCAATGCCAAGTTTCCTGATCTTTGAGGCCATTCTGCCCCTGCCTGAGCCCAGACTCATGAAGGTTCCAAGTCTGCTTCAAAGCAGTCTTTTGCTGGTCTGAGCTGCTAAAGTTCCACAGCATGGTTCAGCCTCACTCCTTCCTGGCCTTACAGATTCACATAAGCTACCAGGACCACCAGGATACAATGGCTCTGTAGGAGTCTGTGCCCTCAATGCAGACCCAGTCCTGAGCCCTGAGGATCCATTGCACTCCATCTTCCAGCTGTCTCTTGGATGCCAAGTTCGAGTCAGATGGACTTGATCCCAGAGCCAAATTTCCCCCACCCCCACTGCAAGCTAGGATCAGCAAACCTAGAGGACCAGGAAAGGGGCAGCATTGCCCACATGCTTGTACACGCTGGCCTGAACCCCAGAAAGCCAATTCTCACTGTTCTTCTGGAACTGAAGCAGAACATGAAGACCATATGCACTAGACCAGCCTCCTATCACTCCCTGGGAATTACAGCACAGGACTGCGATCAGTTCTTCTCAAACTTCTGGAACGCTCTTTGAGCCATTAGGTTCCAGGTGAGTAACTTCCCAAAGTCAGTGCTGTTACATCGCTACCCAGCAGGCCTGATCTGAGCACTTAGTGTGAGTCGAAGCTATTACTACTACTCACAGTGCAGACAGAACAGATTGGATAAGGGACTGGCCCATGTCACACAGCCAACAAGCATTCCTGCAGGACTTTGGACAGTGACTTTAGAGCTCAAAATTGTTAAAAATCTATTTCAAAACAAACAATATTGTGTGCAGAGAAACAGAAAGGTATTTGGTGTAGAACCATCCTGGCAGGCTACATTCCAAGAGAAACCCACCAAGAGAGATCCATCCCCTGAAGGATTGGCCACAGCACAAAAAGTGGTCACAGGCTTTTTGGTCCCCACAAGTCTTCAGCTGTCCTGAAAGGAGAAAGACTCATAGATTCCCAATCCTCCAAATGGGAGCAGCTCAGGAATTAACAGTGAGGTGGGGACAGATGCCAAGGGCCAAAGTAGTGAACAGACACTAGTGTTCCTCCAGTCTGGGACTGAATTAATGAACAGTGGCCTGGTACATCTTGGGCACAGCAGGCAAGGACAGCAGGAGTGATCAGGAGAAGCAGTGGGAAAGGCAGGAGACCCCAGGCTAAAGCTGAAAGTCTAATGTAGACCAAACCTGCTGTATACAGGCGGGGGAGGGGGGGGCTTCTCTGACCCTCACTTTCTTCAATGCCCACAACACAACTTCCCATTGCTGCCAGCATGGGCATCTATCCACTCAGCACCAGCCAAGTGCCAGCAGAAGTAGGGAGAAGAAACGCAGCAGTGTCCACCACGTCTCTCTCACAGGTGCCAGGAGCCTTTCTTTCCTAATGTGTCATCTGAGCCAAGTCTCTGCTGCTGCTGGTCAACCACACATATTCAGCAGCCTCAATAAATCAGTCTTTTACTGCTGAACTTGAGAAACCAAACTGGGTCTCACTGGGCTAAACACAAGATACCAGCTTGGCTATGATCTTTCTGGAAACTCAGCTGCTTTCCAACAGCTAGAGGCATCCACATCCCTTGGCTCAGGGCCCCTTCCTCTGTCTTCACCTTTGGCAACGGCTGAAGCAGGTCCTCCACCCCACCTCCCTGAGGCCACCCAGCCCACCCAGATAACCCAAGATCATCCCTGGGCCCCAACCCAGCCAAGAGGCAAGTGCATGCAGCCTCACATTCGCCAGCACAAGCACCAGCCATATTTGAGCAGCTTTTTGGGTATGACCAAGATGCCCAGGGTATGGGTCAGGGCTGAAGGCAGCCCCATAGGCAAAGCTTACCCACTTGACCCTCACCTCCTTTTCCAGTTCCAAGTCAACCAGAGCTTCCTGCAGCTTTTCCTGGCGGCCCAGCTTCCTCTGAAGCCCTTCCAGCTCCTCTGAGAGGAGTCCGTTGGTCTCCTTCATCTCCCTGCAGGACCGGCAAGTCATTCCAACAGCCACACATTAAGGGGGAACCCAGGGCACCAAGGAGCTGGAGGCAGTGCAGCCACATCAGACTCCTTACCGCAGGTGAGTGTTCTCCTCCTGGAGTCGCTTCAGCTCTCGCTCCACCCTGGGCAACCTCAGTAGTTCAGACTTCATGTTCCTCACAACGGCTGCATCCTGCTCCTGCAGGCACAGCTTCTGCTCCAGGTCCTGTAAGAGTCAGGCAGAAGGGACAGGAGACAGTGAGCACCAAGACACATGAAAATCACCTCTGCCAGTGCAGAAGATAGGACACTAAGATCTAAGGATTGCAATTTGAAGCCAGCCAGGGCCAACAAATCCCAGAGATGTCAAGTTTACCAGCAAAAAATCAGAAATGGAGGTGTGGCTCCAGTGATAGCATACCCAGCCTTGAGCATAAAAAGCTAACTAAGAGCAACAGGCCTTGAGTTCAAGCCCCAGTATCAACACACACACACACACACACGCACGCACGCACACACGCACGCACGCACGCACGCACGCACGCACGCACGCACGCACGCACCAAAGAGGAATGGATTATTTGCTTAACACACCCTCCCCAAAAAGGAATGGATTATCTGCTTAGCAACTGTGAAACCCTGTACTACAACCCCACTACCACCACAAAGAAAGGAAAGAAGGAAGGCAGGAAGGCAGGAAGTCATGGAAGCTGTAACAGTCTTATGCTAACTTGTCCCAGGACCCCAGGGACCTTCTGGTTCAGGTTTCACACACAGGCCCTCCTCTGGGAAGCCTTTCCTGTCTGTACCAAGTATGCCACTGGGCAGCATCTTCATTATCCACTTCTAGAGCAGCCCTGTCTACCACACAGGAGAAGCCATGTCCTTGGCACCACTGTTCAGCCCTCAGTTCTGCAAGAGCAGGAGCAGCCTGTCATCCAAGACACTCTCCTTGTCACTGAAGCCTCCTACTGCTGCACAAGCAACACATCCACACAGCTGCAAGGATAAGCTTTCCTTTGCTGGATCTGTCACTATGGGACTCGACAAGAGGGTGCTTGCATTGAGTGACAAGTCACTGAACAGGATGAATAGAAAACTAAAACAAGCCAAGTCAGTTGGCCAATCCCAAGCCCAATGCAGCCACCTCTGCGCAGGTCAAGTCAAGAGAACAAAGTGACACAGAGGACCATCCTGGCTGTACATGCAAATTCTGAAGTGGGCCAAGGGCTACAGAGGGAGAGATAAGGGCCAGCGAGAAGATGGCAAAGAAGGCAAAGTGAGAGGGGATAAACCAGCAACCAAAGACAACAGGAGTAAAGCTCACAGGCCTGGGACTTGTCAGATCTCCCACAAAATGCTCTTCTATAGGCAACAGAAGCCACAGGAAGGATCTAAAGGCACCATCGGTCCAGCAAAGCAGCACAGCCTGCCATGAAGGCCAGATGGCCTGGCTTGGAGACACAGCTCTGATGTGCTTTGGCAGTTGAACTCTGGACAGGACTGCAGTGGTTTACTACTGCATATCATCTTTGACGGCCACTTGCCCCTCAGGTTTCCAGGAGGTCTCCATCACCAAAATGTGAGACTCCCAGAGCATTTTCTGTGGGCTCGCTGGCCAGCGTAGACATAAGGACAATGCACTAATGTCATCACATTCCACAGAGTACACTCCTAGCTAAGAAAGGCCTAGAGCAGCAGAAGAGCAAAACCACCAGCTTTCTGCAGGATGCCCATTCAGGCTGATGCAAGCAACCCACCTTAACCTTCTGCTCAAGGTCTGCTCTCGTTTCTTGGCAGGCCTGCAGTTCCTGGATCTTCTGGTTTGCTTCTTGCCATTGTCTATTCAAAGAAGAGTACATCACATGCAAAGAGAGCCCACAATGCCTTTCTGCCTAAGCCCCTTAGCATGGACCACACCTGCCTGCTTCAGGGGAATGAATGCCAGTCTGGGACCAGACCCTATGCCAGCACTGTAGCTTTAGTATCCTCGATCTGGATGGGACAGTGGATGAGCTTGTGCACTCCAGTATGGCTGTAGACAGCAGGGGCCCACTGGGGCCTGCCCACTCCTCTCCCCCAAGGACAGAATGCTCCTTAGGGTCAGGGAAAGCATTTCAGGGAGAACACATGGCCTTCCACATGCCACATGTCCATGCCGTATTTGGTTTGTTCTCTGCCCCTGAATGTCTTCCCCAGCCAATGACACTGAATCCATAGGAAATGTTTTATGTTGCTCCAAATCCAGCTGATCAGGATCCTTCTCTAGCATCCCATTCCAAGAAGTCACACCCCTCAGGAAGGAGGGAAGGAAGGAGCTCCAGTTCCAGCTCAGGAATGTTTAAGATGCTATCCTGCTCTGACACTCATTGTCCTGGCTTCAGAGACTTCAATGTGGGTCCCTCCTACAATCTGTAAATGAGGACAGCATTGAAGCCTAGGGAAGTTCAGGGCCCTAGGCCCTTCACCTGTGCTTCAAGTCCAGCTGCTCCTTCAGCTCCTGCTTCTCAGACTCCAAGCGTTTCACCTGCACCTCCTGGTCCATCACATTCCACTGCATCTCCGAGACTCGCCCCTTCAATGCACTGATGGTCTGAAAATAGAGGAACATCAGCATCAGGCCACCTATTAAGACCAGTCTGCAGGTACAGCTTCCACAGGGAAGCAAAAACCAACAGGAAAAGACAATTACCTCCCCTTTTGCTACCTGAAGGTAGAGACAAAACCCCTTCTCCCAGGGAGTTGGTGCCAGCTAGACAAATCCAACTCCCTGGGAAGGCTCCCAGCCTGGGCCTTGTCTGCCACAGGCTGATAGATGTGGGGACAACCATAGGCCTCAGGAAAGCTGGTCCCACTGAGAGGCTCTGGAGCAAAAGCTGCCTCTGGCCAGAACAGACCTAACCTGAAGCCTGGTGGCCACCAGGCCTGGTGCCCTGTGCCCAGCACCCAGCATCCTTGCACACCAAGTACCCACCTCTATCTTTTCTCAACACCTTGTCTCTCACCATCATATCCTGTGCCTGCAACTCTCTATCTCTGACCAGCCCTGTGCTGTGTTCCAACAGTTTGTGAGGACATGATCCTGAGTATCAGGGCAGCAAATTCCCCTCTTGGACACAGGACACTGAGGCTGTCCTCCAGGCTATGAAAGCTATCCCGACTGGAGAGCTGAAAGGCAGCCTTGGGGACAGAACTCCCAAGCTGGCAAGCTGGGCCAGAAGCTACTGGGGAAACAGTAGACTCAAAAGGAGGGTGGAGCCGGGTGCCAGTGGGTCACGCCTGTAATCCTAGCTACTCAAGAGGCTGAGAGCTAAGGATTGTGGTTCAAAGCCAGCCCAGGCAGGAAACTCCCTGAGACTCTTATCTCCAAAACCACTCAGAAAACCAGAAGTGGTACTGTGGCTCAAGTGGTAAAGAAGTAGCCTTGAGCTGAAGAGTTCAGGAACAGTGCCCAGGCCCAGAGTTCAAGCCCCAAGACCAACCAAAAAAAAAAGGAGGGTGGTCTCACAGCAGCTACCCATCTAGCAGCTTTCAGGACAAACTGTGAGTCCACCTGAAGCAAACACCACCTTTCACTCTGAGGCACCTCTCTGGGCAATGGTCCCTGCAACACCTCAGGGAAGAATATGCTGGCCGGGGCAATGAGAATGGCCAGCATAGCTGTATAAGAAAGCATGTAAATGAGGCCCGACATCAGCTACACAGAACATGAACACAGAGGGCAAGAGGCTGGACCCAGCAACCACATCACAGTGATTCTGGGTGGCCTGGGCCAGGGTGTCTCAGCACCCTCTGCAAAAAGACCACAGTATTCATTCCCTATCCTTGACAACTCATTAGAACACAGCAGCAGTGTTTCCCCACACCCTCTAGGGAAAGCACACAGAAGTGCCCTACCCCCTCAAACCTATACAGTTCACTCTGTCATAATAGTGTACATCAACCTAGCCCTCAGAGAATGGAGGTATTAAATCATGTCCAACAAGGATTCAGAAACACAAGCGGGCACTGAGCACTATGATGAAGGACAGTGTCAATGGGGGACAGTTTCAGGGAGGACTGAGACAGCTTCATAGTGGGGAGAGCTATAAGTGGGGTAACAGGACAACGCAGCCATGGGCAGGCTTTGATTCAGGACTGAATGACCACAGGGGCTTCTCTGAGGATTCACCACCACACCCCCCCCCCCCCCCCGGTTCCTTAAAGGTATACAAGGCTCCCCCTACCCTCCAGCACAGAGCAGCACCTGGGGTCTGGGACCCACAGCCCACCCCAGCCAGTGCAAAGCAGGAGCCAACTTCTCTGAAAGCCGATCACGCCTCCTCTCCTGACAACACTCCTTCAGAAGACAGATGCAGGAACAACCTTAACATGCTCCCAGCGCTGTGGAGGCAAAAATAACCTGCAGCCTGCTCTGAGTCTATCAAGTGGAGAAAGTGCATGGAGACAGAATACCAATGATGCAATATAGCCCAGCCCTCCCCCAGTGGTGCTCATCTGTCTCCTCTTGGCACCTGTGATCTTCAATACCACACAAAACAGACAGGGAAGGTCGGGGGGGGGGGGGGGGGGGTCTAGTTCCCATGAGTACCAACATTCAGGTGTATAAAAACACGGAGACAAAGAGAAGCTTTCCCCTGGACTACAGCTCACACACACCCTGGTTCAAAGGCATTCTCTGATGCTGGAGATGCTAACAAAACTTGCTGGTAATCAAAGAAATGCAAATCCAGATGCACCCACTTGCTCATTATCTTCTGGGAAATAAAGAAAACCATGTTTCTGGAACTTAGGGCCATCTATGACAGTCAAGGCTGTTGTGACACCAGAAGTTCTAAAGCAGCTGTCAGCACAACCCAGCACCTGGCAGCAAAAGCAAGAGAGAACCTTGCCAGGTCCTGTCACCCTACTGGAGGGTCAGTCCCCACAAAACAATGCAACAGAAGCAAATAGGCTGCCCACAAGAAGCTATCTACCATGCACACCAAGTGAATACAAGAAACGGAGGGGAGGGGGGGGAGGATGGAATGAAATGGGAAGTGGAAACAAAGAAGGCAACAATGCTTGATAAAAAATGTACTCATTGGGCTGGGAAGGTGGCTCAGTGGTAGAGCGCTTGCCTTGCATGCCTGAGGCCCTGAGTTCGATTCCTCAGCACCACATAAGCAAAAAGAAAAAAGCCAGAAGTGGCACTGTGGCTCAAGTGGTAGAGCACTAGCCTTGAGCTGAAGAGCTGAGGGACAGTGCCCAGGCCCAGAGTTCAGACCCCATGACCGGACCCAAAAAAAAAAAAAAAAAAAAAATGTACTCATTACCTTGCTCATGTAATTGTAACCCCTCTGTATAATATTTTCACAATAAAAAAAACAAACACACACTTTAAAATGACAAAAGATGAATCAGCCAGGCATTAAGATTCCTAGTTAGGAAGACCAAAAAGGTCCTCAACGTATTAACAGAAACCACAGAACAGAAAATTAATATTTTCACTATGATCACAGCCAAGCAAAAGTGCAGGTGCACTGTGAGAGGTCTAATTTAAAGTGAAGATGTCTCAGTGCCACCATGGAGTTGGGAGCGCATTCATTCTTCTTCCTTGGAAAATAGCTAAAGGCCTAGGGTTGACCCCCAGAGCCCTAGTCCTGAGCCCCTCATTCCTCCAGACTGCACTCACCTCACTGGCTACAGCCAGGCTGTCCTCTTGCTCACGCAATTGCTTGTTGGCAGTGTCCAGGCTTTGCTTGCACTGCCTGTGACGCTCCAGCTGCTCCTGTATCTTCTCCTCCGCCTCAGCTTCCCGATCCTGAAGCTGCCGAATGCGCGCCAGCAGCTCCTGGTTGCGGTCCACCTCACGCTGTGAACAGGGAAGAACTTGGCCAGAGTGAGGTGCAAATGCAAATAGGCATGAGGACATGGGCAGCCCAGACCACTCAAGACCATTAGCCCAGAAGAGCAGAACCAGGACAAGACTTGGAAGCCCATGCCAGTGCTCCTGCCACAGCAGCAAGATAGGTCCCACTCTAAGGAGCCAGTCCCCAGGAGGCACTTGGCAAGGATCACACCATGCTCTCATTACACTGTCAGCTCACAGGGGAGACCATTTTTGCAGGAAGGAAATGGAGCATGGAAAAATCTAAAATTCAAAACCAGCCTTGGAAAGAAGTTGGGCTTCTGCAGCAGATCTTGCTGAATGCACTGAGGCTATCCTTAAATGAGTGCACTCCTGCAATCACCAGATAACTGAAGCAAGACAGGCACAGACACTGGCCTGCAGACACAATTGCTTTACACTGGGCACACAACTGCCATATCACACAGACCTAAGAGCCAACTCCTACCACGAAGGCCTGGGAAGCTGGTGAGGAGGGGACAAAACTAGAACCTCTGCTCAGACCTCCTCACTCCATGATCCAAAGGGGACCTGACAGGTTCTCTGTCAGCCACAGAGAAGGGAGGGAGCAAAGGGCAGGAGCTGGATCCTGGGTAGACAGGGGTGAGTGTTGGTCACCAAAGCCCAACACTGCTGCTCTCTCCCTGCCTCCATGAAAGCTGTCCACACAAGCTATCCCTAGAGTACAAGGCCTTACTCAGAGTCACTTATGTACAGGATGCTCCAATGCCTGACCAAAGGTTTAATAAAAATACAGGAATGCAGCCCCATGGAGGGAAGGCTGACCCATACCTCAAAGGGATTCGAGGGAGCATTAACTGCAAGTGCAACCCCAACATATCCAGTGGATCCTCGCTGAACAAGCGTGCTACATAGGGTACAACTGTTTATAATCAGTGCTTAGAATGCATGAGGCTCTTTTTTTTTTTTTTTTTTTTTTTTGTCGGTCATGGGGCTTGAACTCTGGGCCTGGGCGCTATCCCTCAGCTCTTCAGCTCAAGGCGAGCGCTCTACCACTTGAGCTACAGTGCCACTTCCGGTTTTCTGGTGGTTTATTGGAGATAGGAGTCTCACGGTCTCTCCTGCCCGGGCTGGCCTTGAACCGTGATCCTCAGATCTCAGCCTCCTGAGTAGCTAGGATTACAGGCGTGAGCCACCAGCGCCCGGCTTGCATGAGGCTCTTAGCTAAGGCAAACAGGGAGAGATCCAGGGAGGGAGAGAGAGACAGTCATGGCCAGAACAATGTCTCTACAGGTACTGCATGTTCCCAAGCATAGAAAAGGGGTTCAGCAGTCTCTTACAGCCTTATCATCTAATTGCTATTTTGACCTGTCCTATCCACCCATGGCCAGATGGTTCCTGAGCCCTATTCAGCATGCCTATGGGCCCGGGAGAACAGGCCATGCTCATTCACCCTACTGTGTTCCTTGGCCTTCCCCAAGGAAGGACCATGCAGTGACCCCCTCATAATCTCCAATGTTCTAAGCACCCACAAAGCTAGAACTAGTGCTGGACACTGGAGACCCAGAGCCAGGTAGGTCCTTTCCTCAAGGGACCCTGAACAGAGAAATGGCCCCAGAACCCTTCTGTGTGGCATTAGGACCACCTGCCACCTGCCTTCCTAACAAAGACAGCCCACTGAGCCCAGACAACACACCGTGACCAGGAATCTGCATCCCAAACTCAAACAAACCCATTAGCAGCTGTTCCCAACAGAACTAGGCTGGGTACCAGAAGCTCACACCTGTAATCCTGGCTATTCAGGAGGCTTAGATCTGAGGATCATGGTTCAAAGCCAGCCTAGGCAGAAAAGCTCTTTAGACTCTTATCTCCAATTAACCACCAGAAAACTGGAAGTGGTGCTGTGGCTCAAGTAATAGAGCATTTACCTTGGGCTGAAGAGTTCAGGAACAGCGCCCAGGCCCAGAGTTCAAGCCCCGCGACCAAAAAAAAAGAAAGATAGGGGCCAGACAGACATCCTCAGAGGCAGGGAGGCCAGAAAGACTCTGGTCCAGCTCTGCCTGAGTCTTGCAGCATTTTCACACTGAGCACACTTAGCAAGGCTCCTGGCAAAGTACCATTAATCAAAGTGCAGCAGACATGGGCTGAGAAGGTGGCTCAGTGGTAGAGGGCTTGCCTTGCATGCATGAGGCCCTGGGTTCGATTCCTCAGTACCACATAAGCAAAAAGCAAAAAGCCGAAAGCGGCGCTGTGGCTCAAGTGGTAGAGCACTAGCCTTGAGCTGAAGAGCTGAGGGACAGCGCCCAGGCCCAGAGTTCAGGCCCCAGGACCGGACCCAAAAAAAAAAACCAAAAAACCAAAAACAAAGTGCAGCAGACAGAAGTTCCCATGTAGTACATTCCTGAATCACAGGGCTGCTGGGAAGCCAACAGCAAATGTAATGACACAGATAGGTTCTCTGCTGAGGCCCTGAAACCACATTAGCGGACCCAGCATTGGCCCTGTGCATGCTATACATCCTCACACCACCTGGTATTCCTCCCACATCCGCATCCCAATTCTGGCAAAATTCCCAGCAGAGGCAGGTCTGTTGGCACTAGAGCCTCACTGAGCAGTCACCACAGATAGAAGCTCCCCTTTGTGTTTATCTCCACTTTAGAGACCCTACCCTAGAATTGCTGGCCTCAGAAGAGAGACCTGGCAGAGTCCCTGAAGGGTCTCCTCCCCCATCCCCAGCCCTGACCTCTGAAGCCTGGCAGATGCTACACACACAGTTCCTTGCACAGTTCTTGCCCGTCCCACCTGAACCCACCTCATAGTTCCTGGCATTGGTGCTGGCTGCCCTCTCCAGCTCCACTCGCGCCCTCTTGTGACTCAGTTCCATCTGCATCTTCTCCCGCTCCATCTGGATGAGGTAGGTCTTTGAACGGATCTGTTCTGCTTTTTCCTCCAACTGAGCCCAGTGTACCCAAAGAGAAAGAGAATCCTCAGTAGCCCCGTCAAACAGGTACCACTCTCCCCAAGGCCCTGTACAAAGCCTGGGTCCCTGCTTAGGAAATGGGTAGGAGGCAATGAGCAAAAGGAACAAGACAGATTCAAATGGACTAAGACAGCTGGGAGTTGTAGCTCACACCAATAATCCTAGCTCCTCAGAATGAAGAGAGAAGCAGGATCTCAGATCAGCAAAAAGAAAGGAAAAAGAGCCTCATCTTAGACAATAAGGAGCAGAGTGTAATGATTTCCCACCTGTTATCCTAGCTATGGAGAAAGCATAAATAGGAGGATCAGGGTCTAGGAAAGTACAAACAAAAATGCAAGACCCTATTCAAACAAATAACTAAAAAAGAAAAAAAGCTAGGGCTGTCTGGGGCTCAAGGGGTAGAGCACTTGCCTAGCAAGCGAGGGAGAAGGGAAGGGGAAGGGTGAGATTTTAAGATGATAATGCTGAAGCAGGTTTGAAGATAGAAAGTATACTTGACTTTTATAGCTATATAACAAATTACCACAAATTTGGAAGCTAAGACACCACTCAGTTACAAACTAATTCTGGATGTCACAGGCCACTGGGTTCTTCAATCAAGGTCACCCACTGGTAAAATCATGGGCCAGGACTCTGGCTATCCAGAGCTCAGGACCCTCTGGCAGGGTGGATACCTGAGGCCCATTTCCCTACTGAGTATACCTGGATTTCTGTGGGTACCTGGAATGTACCCATGTCCTAGCTACATGGCATCTGCCTCTTCTGCTATATATGAATCTAACTTCTACTTGATATCAGAACACAGATTTGTTCCCCCATTTTGGCAGTAATGAGCTATGTACCCTCTTCCCTCCTCAGCTACCCAGCCACCCTCAGGATTTTTATTTTATTTATTTATTTATTTTTGAGATAGGTCTTGCTCTATAGCCCAGGCTACCCTGTATTTTGCAACCCCCACCCCCTGCTTCAGCCTCCCAAGTACTTAGATTACAGGTAAGCATCACTACACTCAGCTGGACCCCAACTTTTTTTAATACCGGAGTTTTAAACTCAGGGCCTTGAGCTTGCTAGACTGGTGCTCTACCACTTAAGCTATTCACTGGGACCAGGGTCTCAACTTTTTTTTTTTTTTTTTGCCAGTCATGGGGCTTGAACTCTGGGCCTGAGCACTGTCCCTCAGCTCTTCAGCTCAAGGCTAACACCACCACTTCTGGCTTTTTTCTGTTTATGTGGTGCCGAGAAATCGAACCCAGGACCTCATGCATGCAAGGCAAGCACTCTACCACTGAGCCACCTTCCCAGCCTGGGTCTCAACTTTTGAAAGAGCTCTGAGGATTAGGTCAGTGCCACCCAGCTACATACACTGTCCCACCAGTAACTGCCATCTCTTCCATCCCTCCACTTCTGTATGATCTATATTTCTTTATTCCTACATTCACCTCATCTCAACCCCACCTCACCATTATCCGGAAGTGCTGTGGCTCAAGTGGTAAAGTACTAGGCTTGAGCAAAAGAAGCTCAGGGACAGTGCCTAGGCCCTGAATTCAAGTCCTAGGACTGGCAAAAAAAATAAAAGAAAAAAAGAAAAAGAAACCCTTGACAATGAGCAGCGAGGACCATGCAGTCCAAGTCAGATTCCAGAATCCTCTGACTTCAACAGCTAGGCCATAAATCCCCAGGTATTTACATCAGTAAGTGTTTTTAAGATAAAAGTTACCAACTTATTTTACCAGTAATCAGAAACAATCATAACCTATCACCAGCATCATTCATAAAAGTGTTTAACACCAAAAAGGAACGAATATAGGAGATCTACACTCACAAGATAGTCCTTGCTGAGAAAGGCAGTATATACATGGAGTTCTAAAAACACTAACTCCATCACTTGGCAGGCTGATGAACACAAACCTCACCAGCATCATGGTAAAACCCTACCTTATCTGCTTCAGGACATCCCTGCAGAATAGCTCCAGAGGACATAGAGGAGTGAGCAACAGAAAGAGAAGAGGCAAGCAGAGAAGCCACGGAGAGGCTTGGTACAGTAGTCAGTGCAGTGATATCCAAAAAAGGCCAGGACACCACTCCCTTCAGGCCCAGGCACCCAGCCCCACTGAGGCTGAGCCCACCACTCTCCACAGTCTGGAATCCTTGAGGAGGCCTGACCCCTTTGTGACTAGTGAGAATTCCCAAGAACTTGAAGTCAAACAGGACTGAAATCAGGATAAACCTATACAGTCAAAACTCACCCCAAAGTATACAAATGGCCCTCCACAGGCTGAAGTAGTGAAATACCCAGTCCCTCTTCTCTGCCTGGTTTCTCAGATGCTGATGGCCACCTGTGCTTACAACATAGCCTACCCATAAAAGGGGAGGACCCACTTGTGATTCAGATCCCAGATTCTCCAAGCCTGTCATCAGAATTCCCAAGTCCATAAGTGGGAGTACAATGCTGAGCACTCATCAGGAGGAGGACATTCATTCACCAGGAGGAGGACACTCACTCACCAAGAGGAAGACATTCACTCACCAGGAGGAAAGCACTCACTCACCAAGAGAAGGACACTGGCTCACCAGGAGGAGGACACTCACTCAACAGGAGGAGGGCACTCACTCAACAGGAGGAGGGCACTCACTCAACAGGAGGAGGACACTCACTCACCAGGAGGAAGACATTCACTCACCAGGAGGAAAGCACTCACTCACCAGGAGGAGGACACTCACTCACCAGGAGGAGGGCACTCATCAGGAGGAGGGCACTCACTCACCAGGAGGAGGGCACTCACTAAACAGGAGGAGGGCACTCACTCACCAGGAGGAAGACATTCACTCACCAGGAGGAGGGCACTCACTCACCAGGAGGAGGACACTCACTTAGCAGGAGGAGGGCACTCATCAGGAGGAAGGCACTCATTCACCAGGAGGAAGACATTCATTCACCAGGAGGAAGACATTCACTCACCAGGAGGAGGGCACTCACTCACCAGGAGGAGGACACTCACTTAGCAGGAGGAGGGCACTCATCAGGAGGAAGGCACTCATTCACCAGGAGGAAGACATTCATTCACCAGGAGGAAGACATTCACTCACCAGGAGGAGGGCACTCACTCACCAGGAGGAGGACACTCACTTAGCAGGAGGAGGGCACTCATCAGGAGGAAGGCACTCATTCACCAGGAGGAAGACATTCATTCACCAGGAGGAAGACATTCACTCACCAGGAGGAGGGCACTCACTCACCAGGAGGAAGACATTCACTCACCAGGAGAAGGGCACTCACTCACCAGGAGGACACTCACTCACCAGGAGGAGGGCACTTGCTCACCAGGGTGAGGCAGCCTTCATAAGGATGGTCCAGAACATGCCATGGCCTCCAACAATCACCCAAATACATGCGTACACCCAGATGACAACAGCTGACTACTAGGCTCAGCCATACTGATCTGTCTCAACAGGCTCTACAGGCCTTGACCAGCCCTCTGAACCCAAGTATCTACCTGCATGCTCTGCTGGTACATCATCTGCAGAGAACTTGGGGCAGTGTTGCATATATCCAGGCCAGACGCTCCTTCCACTCGCTGAGAAATGAAGTTGTTCAAAGACCTCAGGGTGGACAAGACGGTGGTATTCTCCCCTTGGTCTTCCATGTCCAATGTCCTTCTGAGAGGCAAAGAAAAGTCAGAGCCAACCTCCCACATGCATCTACTGTCACCGACAGGAGAGTTTTGCATAAGCCCCTCCTGTAGAGCCCTCTCCAAGCCCACAACCATGCTCTCTAGAGTTACAGAGAACCAGAACTGTCCATTTCCAAGAGGAAATGAGGCATACAAGTGTGCCACCAAGCCCTTGTGCAAGGCCCAGCCTGCACCCCAGACACTTAGAAGGCCACAGAAAGAGATGATCAATAGCCCGTGGCACATCCCTCACAGACACACCCACAAAACTTATGGCCTCTGGGAATAAGACACAAAATGGGCAGCAACAGAACAAGGGCAGTGATTATACATAAACAACAGTGCCAGTCCACCACCCCTGTATCTACACATCCACAATCAACAAGCCTCACAAAAACTGAACCTCAGCATGAAGATTAAGGAAATTCCAGTATACAGAATGACTTCAGGAGTCAATGATATGAACACTGAATATCTTCTAAATCCAAGATGCAGAATTAGAACAGTAACCAAAGCAAAAAAAAAAAAAAAACCCTTGCTTGTGACACCCTAATTAGTTATTAAAGCTTAAGTGGTATGATATCCTACAAGTAGCCACTACAAAGAAAAGTTAATAGAGTATGAATCTTTCCACAAGAAATGGACTAATGGGTTTTTGTTGTTGTTGAAGTCAAATGCAAACCTGTCTGCCTAATTTATGGCTATGTTAGCAATAATGGAAAAAGCCAATCCAGAGCACCATTCAAGCTCAAAACATGTGTCTGGACAAAGTTAACACTCTTCAGAGGAGTTTGGCATCATAATAAGCCTCTTGCTCTAGGTGCTCATTGAAACAGACATTGTTACTCAGATGGGTTATGTAGTAAGTGAGCTAACTGTACAGAAGCGGAGGGCTTACAAAAGGGATGTGTGGCCGAGTGCTGGTGGCTCACGCCTGTAATCCTAGCTACTCAGGAGGCTGAGATCTGAGGATCGCGGTTCAAAGCCAGCCCGGGCAGGAGAGACTGTGAGACTCCTATCTCCAATAAACCACCAGAAAACCGGAAGTGGCGCTGTAGCTCAAGTGGTAGAGCACTCGCCTTGAACTGAAGAGCTGAGGGACAGTGCCCAGGCCCAGAGTTCAAGCCCCACGACCAACAAAAAAAAAAAAAAAGGTATGTGTGGCTACTAGGCGTTGTTAACAGCAAACCAACACTGTTTCACTGTCTCATAGTGTTAATTTGTCTCCAAACCATCTCACATCATATCACTAATTTGGTACAAACTCTGAGGAAACTGAAGGATTCTGCAAGAAAATTCTGGCTTTTCTCTCTGGATTGTGACAAAATCAACAGACAAATTCTGCCCAACTACCCATCTTCATTCATGGGATAACTGCAGTTTGGCAAGTGAGAAGAACTGCTATCACTAAAGCTACGCATGGCACTGCAAGAGGCTTGCTTTATCACTAAGAAGCCTTGAGCAGATGTTTGAAAACTTAAGTGGCCTTAATAGAGATGGAGCTCCAGTCATGGTTGGCTTGCAAAAAAGGTTAATTGTATTTCAGAAGGAAAAATTAAACCGCCTCAGTCCTGATCCCAGTAACGTGATTCTACACCATTGCATCACACACCAAGAACATCTCGGTGCACAGGTGCTGCAGCTCAACAATGTGATGTCATCATCAGTAGTATCAGACATACATTTTGTCAAAAGCAGAGGGTTTAACAGTGGCCAGTTTAAGACGTTTCTGGATGATTTTGCCTGAGTGTTGTGATCACTATGAAGTGCAGTGACTGAGTCACAGGAATATGCTCATAAGGTTTTACAAAGTGTGAGAAGAAGTCGTACAGTTCATGGAGATGAAGGGAAATCCCATCAGAGAATTCAGTAACGTGTCTGATTACCTACAACACAAAATCATTCCACTACACTGCGATAAAGAGCTGAAAGTGAGGCACAGCAACCTCCCACTGCCTGAGTTCTATAAATGTTACATAAGCAGTGATACATTTCTCACTTTGAGGAAACAGGCATTGTAAAATATGTCAGGAAGAACTTACTGGAAGCAGTTCTTTTCAGAGCAAGAGCTGACCAAGCTCCAGACTGATCTATGCAAACCTGGAAAAGCAGCTGTGAGTAGAACATCTTCAGTACCAGCTAATGTTACACACCTTACACAAGAAGCAGCTGTCATATCAGGCATGAGTTATGATGCTTAATCAAATACAGCAGGTTAATTTTTAAGTTGTTAATTATTTCATTTTATTCTTTTATGCCAGTACTAAGGCCTGAACTCAGAGCCTCCTGTTCTTACTCAACTTTTTCACTCCCAGAACTACATCTCTACTATTTCTGGCTTTTTGCTCATTAGTTGGATATGAGAGTCTCTTGGATTTTTCTGGCTTCAAATTAAGATCCTCTAATCTCAGCCTCCAAAACAGCTAGGATTTCAGACAGAAATCACTAATACCTAAATTGATAAGGCTGCATGACTCATGAATGTTGTTATAAATATCCAAATGGCCTCTGGCAGAAAAAAAAAGTTACCCAACTCTCCCTTAGAAAGAGGCAGCTCTGATTGATTTCCCATAAGCATTACACTAAACATACCCGCAAAATCCATTTTTAAAAAACCACGCCTGATGTCAGGTGGCTTTATGTGTTATATGAATAACAAAACAGGAGGGTGCAGGGAGTCCTAGAAGTTGGACAGAAGCTACCATTTTAAATAGGATGGGTAAAAGAGGCAGCACTGAGGAGGTCACAGTTGACCTGTTAAGAAGGTGAGGGAGGGAGTTCGGGAGCCAAGCACTACTGCAAAGGTCCTGAGGCTGGTGCATGTTTGGCTGTTCAGGGAATAGTCTGAACTAGAAGAACAGAGCTAGAAGCAAAGAAGAGCAAAGGTAAGGTCAGATGTGTAATTCTTGTGGCCACTGCAGGATCTGGTTATTCTTTCCTGCCCCCAGAATGCAAAAGAAGCTGAGCTAATCAACAAGGCTGGAGTGGGATATTAAGAAACTTGTCCTAAAACGTTCTCTCACCAGGATATTTTAAAAGATTTTTAAACTGGATATAGTGGCTCATTCCTGTAATCCCAGCCACTTGGGAGGCATAGGTAGGAAAATCAAGATCCAGTAAGACCCTTTCTCAAGAAAAAAAGAATCTTAGTTTGCCTCTGAATTTCCCACTTAACAAGAACTTCACCAGGTACTCCTCACACACAGCACATAGCAAAAAAAAGGGATGAGAAAGCTGGAAACAGATCTATGAGTTATTGGAGGCAGATGAACCATGCCCTCCAAGCCCAAATCTCTCCATTACCAAGAGTAGATGAGGATAGATCCTCCAGACCCTGACACCTGCCTGGCTAAGCTACCAGAACAAAGAGTAGAGCATTTTCAACTTCCAGAACAGATCACTCCAGTCTTGCCACCAGGTGCCAGTGCAGGCTGCACTCCCATTTCATCAACACTAAAACCTTGCAGCCACTCCTGGCCACTGCCTACTGCCCAGGAGAGTCCCTGAACAGAACACTGGGAGTCAAGCACACTGTCCCTCCACAAAAGGAAACCAACCTGGGCTGGGAAGGTGGCTCAGTGGTAGAGTGCTTGCCTTGCATGCATGAGACCCTGGGTTCGATTCCTCAACACCACATAAGCAGAAAAAGGCAGGAAGTGGCGCTGTGGCTCAAGTGGTAGAGCACTAGCCTTGAGCTGAAGAGCTCAGGTACAGCATTCAACCCCATGACAGGCAACAACAACAAAAAAAAAAAAAAACTAAAGAAGTGGGCCCAGCGTGGTGGGGCATTCCTGTAATCCCAACATAGAGGAGAATCACAAGTTCAAAGCTATGCTGCACTACAGAATGAGACGCTGTCTCCCTGTTTTAAAAAAATAAAATGGTTGGCTGGGAAGGTGGCTCAGTGGTAGAGCGCTTGCCTTGCGTGCCTGAGGCCCTGGGTTCCATTCCTCAGCACCACATAAACAAAAAGAAAAAAGCAGAAGTGGCACTGTGGCTCATGTGGTAGAGCGCTAGCCTTGAGCTGAAGAGCTGAGGGACAGCGCCCAGGCCCAGAGTTCAGGCCCCACGACCGACAAAAAACAAATAAATAAATAAAATGGTTATCTACACAGTGGCCAGGAAGCCTGCCACCGACAATCTGGCCGCGAGGGTCCCGAGTGAGTCTACTTGCAGACACATTCCACTCCGCCAGTCCCGGCCCGGGGTCCCCTGGCACCGAGCGGGACCCCTTGAAGGCGGAGTGACAAGCCCATAACGCGCAAGCTGAGCATCTGGAGGACGAGGCGGTCGACGCGGATGGCCAGGGTCTCGGGGCAGCCGGGGACGAGGAGCCCAAGCCAGCGGGGGCCTCGGGGCATCACGGGGCGAGGGGCCGAGGGCCGGCGGGGGCCTCGGGGCAGGCCGGGGCGAGGGGCCCAAGCCAGCGGGGGCCTCGGGGCAGCCCGGGGCGAGGGGTCCGAGCAGGCGGGGGTCTCGGGGCAGCCCGGGGCGAGGGGCCGAGGGCCGGCGGGGGTCTCGGGGCAGCCCGGGGCGAGGGGTCCGAGCAGGCGGGGGCCTCGGGGCAGCCCGGGGCGAGGGGTCCGAGCAGGCGGGGGTCTCGGGGCAGCCCGGGGCGAGGGGTCCGAGCCGGCGGGAGCCGGCGGGGGTCTCGGGGCAGCCCGGGGCGAGGGGCCGAGGGCCGGGTGGGTTTCGGGGCCCGAGGCTGCGTCCCGGGTGCCAGCGGCGCAGGGCGCGCATTTCGTGGCTCTGGGAGTGCAGAGACTGCAGAAGGGGGAGGCGCCAGTGCCCGACCCCGGCGGGGCAGCTCCGGGCTCGGGCCCGGCCAGACCCCAGCATGCGCCCGGGATGGCGTTTCCGACCCGACGTGGCTCACCTCAGCCGCCGGCTCTTCAGCTCTGCGTTCGGCTTGCCGCCGCTGCTCGGATCTCCCTCCGCTTCGCCCGCGCCCACCTATCGCGAGATTCACGCTTGCGCTCTCGCGAGACTTAATAGGAACCGGCCGTAAAGAACCGACGAAGCGAGCGCGCTGCTGACGCCCCAGCGCGGTGTTCAGAGCCGCGGGCTCACCGAAGTCTGGCGCGGCGGAGACTGACTCAGAGGCTGAGTGCACCCCTGCACAGCCGGCCGCACCCCTGTCGGGTCTGGCCGCCCGGCCCGCACCGCGGGTCCGGTTCCGCTTGGTGGCTGCCCTGCACCGTAATGTGTAAACTAGCACCGTACAAACCCGGGCCCCCGAAAACAAACCTTGGGAAATCTTTTCTGATTTTTCCGTCTGAGATCGGGACTCGAACTCGCTATCTGACGCTTTGCGCTTATTGTCAGGCCCCCCACCACCTGAGGGACGTCTCCAACCCCATGGAAATCTTAGCATCCCTTGGTACGATGATGTTTTACTGAATTTAGTGAATTGTTTTTCCCTGGGCCCACAGGAAAAGCAAACAGGCTTCCAAACCACCTCCCCAGCGCTCTCTACCCATCCGTGGAGTCCGGGCCTTGTTTGGGCAGCATTCCTTGGAGTGAAAATGAGCTCAGCCCTGAGGTACTGCAACAGTTCCCACTTGAATCTGCCACTTATTTCTCCTTTCTCCATTGCCCAGCTTAGAAGGTGATGTGTCCAAGGATCTGCGTTGTCTTCTCCATTTTCCAAGTTAATGGAGCCAGGAACTGAACCGAGTTTAGGGGGAAGTCAGAAAGTAGTTTGGAATTAGCCAAAAATGAACCATAAAGGAAAACATATGGCCAGTGGGACAGACCAGAGGGACCCAACTCTGGGATCTCAAACGACTAGGGCCATGGGGGTTATGTAGTATTCTTTCAAAAAGCACCATGGAAGCCGGGCGCTGGTGGCTCACGCCTGTAATTCTAGCTACTCAGGAGGCTGAGATCTGAGGATCGCTGTTCAAAGCCAGCCCGGGCAGGAGAGACCGTGAGACTCCTATCTCCAATAAACCACCAGAAAACCGGAAGTGGCACTGTAGCTCAAGTGGTAGAGCGCTCGCCTTGAGCTGAAGAGCTGAGGGACAGTGCCCAGGCCCAGAGTTCAAGCCCCACGACCGACAAAAAAAAAAAAAACACCATGGAGTTCATAAAGCAGTGAAAGATGAATGAACACAGAACATCGCTGCTTGCTTTGGCAATTAGCTTTATGATCTTTGGAGCCCGGAGTATTACAATATATACTTCCAATAAGAGCCAAAGTACACCCACACCATGCATAAATTCCTACCAAATGCCTCTTCTAATTGCTCTGGGAGCTCCCACTGCTTGGAGAGTGGATGTGTTTCCAGATTATTCAGACATGGATAGTAATCCCCAGATGTAAATTTCAGGGTTTTCTATTGTGAGAAGCTCTACTGTGTTATAAGAACTGAAAAGGAACGCCTATTTTCCTGGAATATGCTGAGTCCATGTGCCTAAGAAACTCCGTGAAGGATACAGGTCTATCCATCTCTGCCTCAGCAAATTCAGGTTTGGGGATTCTTACTTGTTTTGCAGTCCTAGGGACAGAACACAGGACTTGGCATGTGCTAGACAAGACTCATCCCACTGAGCTATAACTCCAATCAGTCCAAGAGACCCATTTCTAGCTTCCCTGCCTCTGTTTCTCCATAACTTTCATTCTCCTTTTTCTTTTTTCTTTTTCTTTTTTTTGCCAATCCTGGGGCTTTAACTCAAGGCCTGAGCACTGTCCTTGAGCCTTTCTATGCTCAAGGCTAGTGCTCTACCACTTGAGCCACAGTGCCACTTCCAGCTTTTTCTGTTTATGTGGTACTGAAGAATCAAACCCAGGGCTTCATGCATGCTAGGCAAGCACTCTACCCCTAAGCCACATTCCCAGCCTCTCATTCTCCATCTTTCTTTTTTTTTTGGTCAGATGTGGGGCCTGAACTCTGGGCCTGGGCGCTGTCCCTCAGCTCTTCAGCTCAAGGCTAGCACTCTACCACTTCAGCCAAAGCGCCACTCCCAGCTTTTTCTGCTTATGTGGTGCTGAGGAATCGAACCAAGGGCCTCATGCATACAAGGTAAGCACTCTACCACTGAGCCACCTTCCCAGCCGTTCATTCCCAACCTTTCTAATGACAAACTTCCTATTCAAAAATCATGACATGAACTGGGCATGGGAGGACACATCTGTAATCCCAGCACTCAGGAGGCTGAGGTGGAAGGATAATTTCTTGGCCATAGTAAAGCTCTGTATCCAAAAACAAAGAGATTAAGCATGATATAGAAGGCTGCATCGTTGGCCTTTCTGCATATTGTTTTATATATATATATATATATATATATATATATATATATATATATATATATAATTTGCCTTTTGTTTTGTGTCAGCACTGGGGTTAGAACTCAGGGCGTGGGTGCTGCCCCTTAGCTTTTCTGTCCAAGGCTTGTGCATTACCATTGGAGCTCCACTTCCAGCTTTTTGCCCAGACTTTGCATGCTTTGAACAGGGATCCTTAGAGCTCAGCCTCCTGGGCAGTTGGGATTACAAGTATGAGCCAATTGCATCAAGCTTCTCTGTCATCATTTTGGTTAAAAACAGGAAAATGACTCCCATGGTCCTGCTCATCTCCAGCAAGGCTCAGATTCCAGCCACACATCAGGAAAGCCCCTCCGCTACATTCACAGGTGCTGAGAACCCAGGAGCCTTCCCAAGAAGGGCGGGAGACATCTCATGGTTTCACAGGACTCTTCCTAATACGGTACTGTGTGGCCAAAAAGTATACCTCTGATGATTCTCTCCTGCTGGCCTCAGGCTTCAAAATCCTTGTGTGCTGGAACTCTTTGGCCAGTCTCTTCAGAAGCTGCTGGCTTTGACTCCCTGCCCAGGTTTTACAAAGCATTGTTCCCCCTGGAGACAAAATGTCTGCAGCCATGTCCAGAAGAGTTAAGCACAGGCTGATGAGCCTGTCGTGATCCAGGGCCCGGATCCCAGTGGCATTGGGTGCCATATCACTCAGAATCACATCTGCCCTCCTGCCAGGAAGCTGCTCTAGGATTCTCTGAAGAGTCTCTGGATCAGTCACATCAGCAGGGCACAGGAAAGTTGCTCCTTCCATAGGAAGGATGTGGAGAAGATCCACCCCAAGCACGAAGCCAACCGGGGAGCTGGGATCTACGGAAGAACCAGCCAGTGTGTCACTTGCCCTATGTCTTCCCAGAGAAACACAGGCCACAGAGTGAAATGAACATGGACACGAGGCCTTTTCCCACCAGCTAAAAAAAGACAGGGGAGCTGTCCTTCCTGCACTGTCCAGGGGACTGAAGCCCAGAAGGAAATGTCTGTCCCAGTTATACTGAGTGGCAAGCCAAGTCAGAGCTACAACTAAGACTTCTGACTCCCACTCTCCAGGCATCTCACTACCCAAGGCTCAAGTGAATGGTTTGGGGGCAATTTTTTTAAGGGGGGGAGGTGTTACTAGGGTCTAAACTTAGGGCCTCCCCCTTGTTATGCTCACTACCACTGAGCCATACTCACAGCCCTATTTTCGTTCTTTCATTGTGTGTATACCAGTCCTAGGACATGAACTCAGGACCAGGCACTGTCCCTTAGCTTTTCTGCTCAAGGCTAATGCTCTATAACTTAAGCCACAGTTCCACTTCTGGCTTTTTGGTAGTTAACCAGAGATAAGAATTTCATGGACTTTCCTGCCTGAGCTGACTTCAAACCACTATCCTCAGATCTCAGCCTCTTAAATAGCTAGGATTACAGGCATGAGCCACCAGCCTGGGCTTCCCAGCCCTGTTTTTCACTGATTATTTTTAGGATATGGTATTGCTTAACCATCATATTGGCCAGAGCCACATCTGCATACTTTAGGCTTCCGGTAGAGCCACAGAGTCCAGCTTTTCTTCACAAGAAAAAAAGAAAGAAAGAAAGAAAAAACATTCTAGTAGACTTATTTGCCTACACCTGAGCCTTTCTTTTTTTAATTAACATTAGTTTGAACTCAGGACTTTGAGCTTGTTAGACCAGTGCTCTACCATTTGAGTCATGCCCATTCCTCTCCTCTTGATTATATCTTTCTACTTTGTCTTTGATTTAATACACAAGTATCCTAATTTTATAACCATTGCTAGGAAACAACCAACTACAATATATGGGCCTGTACAAAGGGGCTTCAATGCTGTGTCCACTGCAGAGGACAGCTCACTGGTGCTCCCTGAGGCAGCTAGTAGGTAGCATGGAGGCCCCACCTGTGCCTACAGCATTGACTCTCTGCACCGCCACTTGGCTCCAGGCCCCAGGAGCTGCCCCACAGTCTAGCACCCGAAGTCCAGGCCGCAGGAGCTCATGTTTCTTGTTCATCTCCAGAAGCTTGAAAGCACTTCGGCAGCGGTAGCTCTCCACCTTCGCAGCCTTCACAAATGGGTCTTTTAAGTGGCGCATGAGCCACAGGTGCTCAGCGCCTGTCCGGCCCTTGTAGTGACGAGGAACAGTGTGGAACCTCTGACACCGAAGGGGTGCACACATCAGTTTCAGGTACCTGAAGGGAGGAAGGGGCAAGTGGATGACATCACACAGAGCAGCATCACGGTGGAGGAGCCCTTGGTTCAACTCACTCATTGTTAGAGTTGGGGCACCAAGACCAAACGCCAGAGGGGACTTAACAACACTACGCAGCCAGAGAAAAGTGTCATAAGCTGGGGCTGGGGAGGTGGCTCAGTGGTAGAGCGCTTGCCTTGCATGCATGAGGCCCTGGGTTCGATTCCTCAGCACCACATAAGCAAAAAGAAAAAAGCCGGAAGTGGCGCTGTGGCTCAAGTGGTAGAGCGCTAGCCTTGAGCTGAAGAGCTGAGGGACAGCACCCAGGCCCAGAGTTCAAGCCCCACGAATGAATGAATAAATAAAATAATAAACAAATGCCGGCAAACCCCGCTTACCCGGCCATTGACGTCGTACCAGCGCCGGCGTCGGCAGCCGGAAGTCCCAGACTCACTTCCGGTAGAGTCCCCGCCCCCAGTCCCGGAAGCCGCGCGCAGGTACCGGGACAGGAAGAGGCGGGAAGAGGCCGAGCGCCCGGGACGCGGGGAGAGACCGGGGAGTGCTGCGGTGAGGCAGAGCCAGGGAGGCGGGCACGCGGGCGGCAGGCGCTGGCCTCCGCGTGCGCGGACGCCGACCCAGGCCGGGCCCCGGCGGGAGCCGGCACCAGCGTCTGCGCGCCCGCTGCCCGCGCCCCAAGCCCCGCGCCCACGGCCGCGGTAAGGGCGGAGTCGGTGCGGTACGAACGCCTCTCGCCGGGCGAGCCCCGCCCAGAGCCCCGCACCTCCCCTGGCACGCAGGTCGGCCACCGCACAGGTGGAGGCCAGGAAAACCCTGCTAAAGACAGACAGGTCAAGGCCAAAGCCTGAACCGGGACCATTGCTCAGACCACACGGTCGTCCAGGGAGCTGAGAGCGGAGGAGCCCGCCTGCCCTTGACGCACAGGCCCGGGACCCACGCAGGAGCATGTTCTCCCCTCACATCATTTACTCAGCTCCGTGTGGATGTAGCTGATTGCTTGCCTAGCATATGCAAGGCCCCAGGTTCAGTCCGCAGCACTCATCCAGACATACTGTGCATGCCTGTAACCCCGGCAGTCATGAGTCTCAAGCAGGATTACAAATTTGAATCAGGTTGGACTACATGGCAAGGCTCTAAATATAAAGATTCACTTACTCGGGGTGAAGTTTGTACCTGCCTAAGAAGCAGCAGAATCTCAGGTGACCCCCCGGGACTCACCACCCACTTCCCCTCTCTGCCTTCCAGAGCCAGCGTGTTTCCCCTCCACCTGACCCCTGCTCACCAGGGCAGTCGTGTTTCACTCACCTTACACCTACCAGCCTACGACTGAGCTGCCCAGGAGGCATGAGCACTTCCAAGCTCTATACCTTAGTGCTGGTGCTGCAGCCCCAGCGGGTCCTCCTGGGCATGAAGAAGCGGGGCTTCGGCATGGGCCGCTGGAATGGCTTTGGGGGGAAAGTGGAAGAAGGAGAGACCATCGAGGATGGGGCCAGAAGGTGAGGAAAGGGGGCTCTGCACACACAGCCTGCCGGGGATGAGGGTTCCATCTAGATTCAGAGCCATATGCCCTGGGAACTGTGTGGCCCAGAGCAGGGATCTATCCCTTGAACTCTGCATCTTCACCTGAGTGGGACAGTGGTAATGAGACTGCAGGTCTTAGTGTGGCAAAGACTAAATGAGAAAGTGCTGGCCAAGGACTGTGGTCTGCCTGACTCTGTCGGTGGGAAACCTTTGGGATACCATTGGAGTCATCGTGGCATCTTCATGTCTAACTACAGGGCTTACCAGTCACTAGTCTTTTTAATTTTCAGGGTAGCTGATGGCTCCACACATACATACCCCTTTATCTTAAACCTTTTGGCCACACAGCTCTACTTGGTCCAACTACAGCTTCTCTTGGGAAGGAATGAAGGCCCAGAGAGGTTGAGTTGATTTTCCACCTCACACAGTCCTCCAGGTGGCCTCTGCCCTCACTTCACACAGTCCTCTGAGAATAAATGAGGTCATTAATGCAAGTGGTGCTCAACCCTGCACAGACAACCAGGGAGTTGTGGTGGTGGTAGTTGTGGTAGTTGTTTTGAGACAGGATCTCAAATTCACAATCCCCTTACCTCAGCTTTTCCACTGGCATGCACTAACATGCATGCCTGTTGTTCTGATTCTGATGAAAGCTGGTGGCACCCATACGTTGCCTTCTTCCCTGGAAGGAATGAAAACCCATCCATGGATCAGAGACTCTGGGAAAGGAGGGAAATTGGGATGTTGCAGCTTAGTGGTTTTCTTTTCTTTTTTTTTCTTTTTTTTTTTTTTTTTTTTGTGGTGGTCTTGTGTTTTGACATCACAGTAGGTACAGTAATTTAGCTGTTAATTTTAAAAAGATATGTATTAATTTGAAAAAAATAACATACACACCCAGCTAAAATCATGATAGCCTTAGTAGTAGAGGTTTGAATTAAAATTCAGCACAACTGGGCAAGCATTCTACCACTTGTCACATCTCCAGCCCTTTTTTTGCCTTAGTTATTTTTCTGATGGGGTGCCTACGGTTGGCCTTAGATTGAGATCCTACTACTGTGCTTCCCATATACAGACTTGAACCTCTACAGAAGTCTCACTATCTATTTGTCCTTGCTGGCTGGCCTCCTTGAAACACAATTGCCCCCAGTCTCTACCTCCCAAGTACCTCTGGATTATAGGTGGGAGCCATTCCCTAGGCCTGGGACCCCAGCATGCAAGCTGAACAGGTTCCTAAGTTGTTATACCGAAGTCCCACAAGGGGGAGCTGAGCAATACCTCCTTTTCCCAGGTAGCAGTAACTATGCCATGTGTCTGGGTTTAGCATTGCCCTAAAGAGGGCCAAGTTGAGTGTCTTCTCTGTGACTGTGAGTACTTGGATACTGTTTGGGTTGTGGGTGCCATTATTGGGTCTTGAACTCAGGCCATTGTCCTTTAGTTCTTTTTGTCACAGTGGTGCTCTACCACTTAAGCCACAACTCCACTTCCTGCTTTTCAGTGCTTAATTGGAGGTAAAAATCTCATGGACATTTTTCCAAGGCTGGCTTCTAACATGTGTCCTCAGATCTCAGCATCCTAAGTAGCTAGGATTAGGGTCATGAGCCAAATGCACGTAGGTAAGGATGAGTGGTGTGTCTGTGTGTCTGTGTCTGTGTGTGGTATGTCTGTGTGTTTGTGTCTGTGTATGTCTGTGTCTGTGTGTGTTCCTGGCAGTTGAACTCAGAATCTTCTATTCACAGTCCTTTACTTTGTGAGAAAGTGGGAGGGGGGGGGTATTTATTTTTATTATTATAAAAGTGATGTACGGAGGGCTGGAAAGGTGGCTCAGTGGTAGAGTGCTTGCCTTGCATGCATGAGGACCTGGGTTCAATTCCTCAGCACTAAGTAAGCAGAAAAAGCCAGAAGTGGCGCTGTGGCTCAAGTGGTAGAGCGCTAGCCTTGAGCTGAAGAGCTGAGGGACAGCGCCCAGGCCCAGAGTTCAGGCCCCACAACCAGCCAAAAAAAAAAAAAAAAAAAATTGATGTATGGAGAGGTATATGTATGTAAGTCAAGTGCTGAGTACATTTCTCTTTGGATAATGTCACCCATTCCCTTGTTCTCTCTCAGTTTTTCCCTCCCATCCCACCCACAAGTTGTGTAGTTCATTTTCAACATAGTTAGGGTTTGGATTAGAGTATGAGCCACCTGCTTCTGAATTCTTTTTTTTTAATTTATTTATGCACGTTGTTAAGGTAATATTTCTAATATATCACAGTAATACAGTGGCATTAACTAAAGCAATCACAATATCTCTTCATGTTAGATGCTTCTTGAAACATTCATATTCATTGTAAGTACTTTTTAATCTTCACTACTGCTGTGACTTAAGCATATCATTACCCCCACTTTTTTTTTCTTTTTTTTTAGCTGGTTGTGCAGCTTGAACTCTGGGCCTGGGCACTGTCCCTGAGCTCTACAGCCCAAGGCAAGCCCTCTACCACTTCAGGAATAGTGCCACTTCCAGTTTTCTTGAGATTAATTGGAGATAAGAGTCTCCTGGACGATCCTTCCTGGGCTAGCTTTGAACCACCAATCTTCAGATCTGAGCCTACTAAATAGCAAGGATTACAGGTGTGAGCCACCAGCACCTGGTTACCCCCACTTTATTAATGAGCAAAATAGGGCTTTTAGAATTTTATTTTCTAAATTTACACAACTTTTAGCATTTCGTCTAGGTTTCTGGACACAAATCTGTGGCAATAATATTTTTTAATCCATACTAAGCATGTCCTGAAACATTCTGTGGAAATGTCATTAAAGAAAACATCATAGTTCTTGCAGCTACTCTTTACAGAGTTTCATCTGAGACACATACTAATACAACCAATCTTTTAAACTCAGGTTTTCAATAGTACATACTTCTGGCAATTTTTCCTTTTAATGGATTACTCTTATTACACTTCTGTTAGCAATTCTGCACAAACTCATTAACATTTCTGTCTCAAATTTTAGACCACTACAAATCTCTGAGGCTATTGATGCATGGTTGTGAAAAGAATGTGTGCTATGACACAAAGATAACAACAAAAATGTAAATTCAATAAATACAAGCAGCAAAACTTCAACAACCTGAATATATACTTGCTGTGACAAACTGTCCCTAGATAGTAAATAAGTATCTGCCAAAGGACAAAGGTTACTGACCACTAACTGACTGGTTGCAAGTTTGAGGCATAGGTGTACTTTGAAGAATAAGAGTAAAAGGATTTCTGCAAGGATCATGATAACTAATTTCAATATCATAGTGCATTTCAATTTTGAGACATGTTTGTGTCTTCTCAAACCACTGAAGTTGGGCTGGGAAGGTGGCTCAGTGGTAGAGCGTTTGCCTGGCATACATGAAGCCCTGGGTTCGATTCCTCAGCACCACATAAGCAAAAAGAAAAGCCAGAAGTGCCGCTGTGGCTTAAGTGGTAGAGCGCTAGCCTTGAGCTGAAGAGCTGAGGGACAGTGCCCTGGCCCAGAGTTCAGGCCTCATGATTGGACCAAAAAAAAAAACCACTGAAGTTGCCTATAGTCTGCTTAAGGGACTGGGGAAACACAGTTCTTTGACTTGGTTTTTTAAGATAATTTTATTTTTATAGAATAATTACAAAAATTGTTCAGGGCGGGGAACGTGGCTTAGTGGTAGAGTGCTTGCCTAGCATGCATGAAGCCCTTGGTTTGATTCCTCAGTACCACATAAAGAGAAAATGCTGGAAGTGGCACTGTGGCTCAAGTGGTAGAGGGCCAGCCTTAAGCAAAAAGCAGCTCAGGGACAGTGCTCAGGCCCCAAGTTCAAGCCCCAGGGCTGGCAAAAAAAAAAAAAAAAATGTTCAAAGGGTTACTTATCTTTTATCAGCATCTCCTTAAGGCTGAAAACCCACAGGATCTTAATAAACTTACCAAGAGATGTAACACTTTATTTTTATTTTTTATTTTTGTCCGGTCCTGGGGCCTGAACTCTGGGCCTGGGCGCTGTCCCTCAGCTCTTCAACTCAAGGCTAGTGCTCTACTACTTGAGCCACAGTGCCACTTCCGGCTTTTTTTCTTTTTGCTTATGTGGTGCTGGGGAATTGAACCCAGAGCCTCAGGCATGCAAGGCAAGTGCCCTACCATTGAGCCACCTTCCCAGCCCAGATGTAACTCTTTAAACTAAACTACTTTAGTTCCTTGACTTTATTAGTACTCACCAGCATGTTTCACTACTACTCTACTTCCATCACAAAATCTAATCTGGCCTGCTTAGCCTGTTTACTTAGTTTACCTAATCTGCAACACTTCCTCTGTCTTTCCCAGTCTTTTATTAACTATCGCCTTGAGACTTTCAAATATTAACTATCCAAGTGAAAGGCTGGAACAAAGTCCTTCAAGCAAATGGCCCTCATAAACAGGCTGGGTTAGTAATACTAGTATCAGATAAAACAGTTCAAATTACAAGTAGTCAGAAAAATCAAAGGACATTTCATATTGATAAAGCAAAGGCTGAATTAGGTTTCTGTGTAGTGTGGTTCCCTGGTCTTAATTGTTTCTTTAGTATTTTTTGTAGTGCTGGCTTCTTGTTCATGAATTCCTTTTTTTTTTTATTAAAACTTTTAGTTTCTCCATCGAATGTGAATGCTAGTTTCACTGGATACATCAGTCTTGGTTGGAAGTTAAGAATGGTACTTTTCAGGCTCTCCTTGCATTGATGGTTTGTGTGGAGAGGTTCACAATGATTCTGATTGTCTTTCCATTGTAGTATAGCTCCTTCTTTGATTTTAAAGTATTTAAAATAAGCTGTTTGCAAAGCAGGTCCAGTGTCTTTACTACAATGTGTCTAGAAGTGTCTCTTCAAGGATCCTGTCTACAAGGTGTTCTGTATGTTTGTTGTGAGTGAGGTTTTCTCTCTTGAGATTGGGAAAATTTTCTGTAATAATCTTATAGAATAGGTGCTGCATCCCTCTATTCTGATATTCCTATCTCATCAATCCCAATTATATGAAAATTAGAGTTCTTGGCATTGTCTGACAGTTCTTGGACTTCCCTTTGGTAACTTCTGAGTGTTTTTTCCATATCTAATACTTTCCTCTTGTGTTTTATCTTCAACTCCTGATATTCCATTTTCCATCTCATCCATTCTGCTACCTGTTGCTTCCATTGTGGTTTACATTGTAGAAATTCATGTGCTCATGATCTCAATATCGCTCCTCAAAGTTTTAATTTTATTTCTAAAGGAGGGATGTACTGCATCGATAGGGCTTGAACTCTGGGCCTGGGCACTGTACATGAGCTCTTCAGCTCAAGGCTAGTGCTCAACCACTTGAGCCACACTTCCACTTCCTGTTGTCTGGTGGTTAATTTGAGATGAGAGACTCACAGACTTTCCTGCCTGGGCTGGCTTTGAACTATGATCCTCAGATATCAGCCTCCAGAGTAGCTAGGATTACAAGCATGAGCCATTGGCGCCCAGCACTGTTTTTTCTTGACTACATGTTTTTAGATCATGGAATTCCTTTGATATTTTTTCTTTCTACTCTTAAAATTGGGTTTGTAACTCTTTTTTCTTACATTGATCAATTCTGCCATCATTTCTTTATGTTATCTTTTGTTCTCCATTTGTTCTTTGCTCTCACTGGAGTTCTTTGGGTTGCTACTGGATTTTGGGTTTCATTTATTGGCTTGATAGCTAGTGGTGGGGCCTGAACTCTGGGCCTGGTCATTTTCCCTCAACTCTTCACTTTAACACTGGTGCTCTACCACTGGAGCCACAGTGCCACTTCTGGCTTTTTCTGCTTATGTGATGCTGAGGAAGTGAACTCAGGGTCTCTACCACTGAGCCACCTACCCAGCCCGAGTTCAAAATTCTTATAGCTTCTTAATTCTTTAAGTTCAAACTAATTCCCAAGATGGGCCTGGTCAGGACCTACCAAAACCTTACACGATGCCCTCCTGGGGTGAACAGCCATGTCCTGCCACCAGGTTCCCATGGGTGGGTACATGCATCCCCAGTGCGTCCTCATATGCCTGTTTCCCCACAGGGAGCTACAGGAAGAGAGTGGTCTGACAACAGAGATGTTGCACAAAGTGGGGAAAATCGTGTTCGAGTTTGTGGGCATCCCCGAGCTAATGGAAGTGCATATCTTCTATACAGAGAGCGTACAGGGAACACCTGTGGAGAGTGACGGTGAGTCTTGAGGCTCCCCAACAGAGTGGGGGACAACTACCACCCATTCTTGCTTCCCTGGGGAGGACACAGGTGTGGGCCTTGGGCCCTCTTCCTTCTCCAGTAAGCTCAGAGGCTCTGTGGGCCATCTACAGCAGGTGCAGCAGCATAGCCCACAGCCCCAGCGCATTTCCTGCTCTACAGAGTGAGGGTCACTAACATGGTTAGATGGAGCCCCTACCACAGAACTCCCCTGTAATTCCTGTCAGCCTGGGTCGGGGGATGACCACCACAGCTCTTCCCTGTCACCCTTTGGTTCAGAAATGCGACCTCAGTGGTTCGCCCAGGACCAAATCCCCTTCCGTGACATGTGGCCCGATGACAGCTACTGGTTCCCGCTCCTGTTCCAGAGGAAGAAGTTCTGCGGCTACTTCAAGTTCCAGGACCAGGACACTATCCTGGACTATTCGCTACTTGAGGTGGACCACGTTTAGCGCTGAGCCTACTGGTGGCCAGGAGAGGGCGCCTTGGCAGCAGCTCTCCTGTCCACATGCTCACAAGGCCAGCCTCATGAGGTGTCAGAGGTGACTGGATCCAAGGGAGGGCCTTCAGCAGTGTGGCTTGTCCTGTCCCCAGGGAGCTGCCTGTCGTGCCGCTGTCACACAGACACTGGACAGAGGTGGGAGGGACTGGGTAAAGGAGGGCCTGCCATATGATCTAGTGTCCTTTTATTGCCACCCCCCACTTTGTGATTCCTACCCTTTCCCAGTGGGGAAACAGAGACAAACAAGAGTCAAAAGCCATGGGGCTGGGAAGGTGGCTCAGTGGTAGAGCGCTTGTCTAGCTTGCATGAGACCCTGGGTTCGATTCCTCAGCACCACATAAGCAGAAAAAGCCAGAAGTGGTGCTGTGGCTCCAGTGGTAGAGCACTAGCCTTGAGCAGAAGAGCTGAGGGACAGTGCCCCGGCCCAGAGTTCAGTCCCATGATGGACCAAAAACAAACAAACAAACAAAAACCAGTCAAAGGCCAATCCTGGCATGTAGCAGGCTTCTCCTCAGAATACAAGGGCCATTCTCTTCCAATTGGGAACCACCAAGAAGCAGAGAAAGAACTGAGAGCTGTGTCCACTATTAACTTCACCAAGGATTTTTGGGTAAACAGCAGAGTAAAAACGGTTTGTAAACACTTCCAGTTTATTGGGTATAGTAGTAACTGATTTCTGCAGCCCATAAAGTGCTTCATACATAGAGCTGGCTTCCACAAAGGCCTGGGAAAGGCCTCCAACAGCACAGGGTCCCTGTTTTTCCCACAGCGGTTTCCTGGGGCTGCCTTCTCCCCAGGGCTGGAGGGAGCCAGCCAGCCCGGCACTCCCCCGGCTCTCAGGACCAGCCAGGGCTTCAGCTGAACCCTCACTCAGACACCTTGCCCTGGACAGGATTCTTGTGAAGTTCCCACTGTAGTGTCCGGCCAGAGCATGGCAGCAGGAGAGCCAAGAAGGGTGAAGGGACTTCAGTCACTCCACCTGGAGCAAGCCTGGGCCAGGAGTGACTGGGCTCTGCTGCCCTAAATTCCTTAGGCCTTCCTCTAGAGTGCCTGGGGATGGCAGGGTGGCCTGAGGCAGCCTTCCTGCCTCCTCTTCCCCCACCCTCAGCCTCTAGATCACAGAACCTGGAGGACATTAGGAGTGTGACCTAGCTACTCACCCTGGGTCCCGTCCACAGCTCCCCTACCTCTGGTCTCAGAGACAGGCTGGCAGACAAGTGGCCTTGACTGGGCCCCAGGCCCTCAGAGGCCTCAACACTGCTGCAGCCTTTGGCACAGGTAGGCTCAGGCCCTGCAGCTCTACTGTCACCATGTGGAAGGACAGCCCTGGGAATGGTACAGTTCCAATAGTGATCAGGAACTGTCTTCCATGAGGGAAGGTTGTCTTCAGAGGACCAAGGAGACCCAGCTGCCATCAGAAGTGACTCAGCCATCCCACAACATTGGCAAAGAGGGTTTAGTGAGGCCACGGGGAGTTCTGCAGGCCTCAGGCACTAGTGGGGACACACTTCATCCTCCTTGGGGATGATGGTGGTGTCAGGGTGCCATGAGGTCCAGCAGAGAGTCAGCTGAGCTTCGACTTCAGGTCACTCCACACCTTGTTCATCTACAGGAGTCCTATCCCACCTCCACAACCTCTTGAAGTGAGGACATAGCTGCCAGGCCCACTCGCTTGGCATGGATAACCTCCAAAGGCCACATTGGTTCTTCCTCTGTCCCCTGCACGCAGGAGCAGAGCCACAAGTCAGTCTGACCTGATACTTTCGCACTTCTCAGCTGGGTACTGATAGTTCATGTCTATTATCCTTGCTACTCCTGAAAGAGCACCAGTGGGCCTATATCCACCCATGACTGCGCCTCCAGTGTACACATGGCACAGGCACTCTGTGGACACAAACAGGTCAACCAGTACACTTCTCTAGACACCAGCAACTCTATCATGGCCGAGAGGAGAAAGTAGCTCAGCCCAGAAGCCTGTGCTCATGGAGCACTGTGGCAGGAGGTAGAGAACCGACAGCAAGTGAACACAATAAGGTTGTGGACAAAGGAGGCATGGCCTGGGAGTGGAGCTGCCACCTCCTCAGGGGACTGCAGGGACTCTCAGAGATTCCTGCCCACTGAATCCCACACCTGAAGCCAGCCTCGATTCTAGCCAAGAAGCTCCAGACCAGTTGCGAGTGTGCTGAGGGTTCTTAAAACATGGAAAGGAGAGGCTGGGAAGGTGGCTCAGTGGTAGAGCGCTTACCTTGCATGCCTGAAGCCCTGGGTTCAATTCCTCAGCACCACATAAGCAAAAAGAAAAAAAAAACATGGGAAGGAAACAACAGCTGGCCATGAGTGCCTTGCTCCCAGTGGACTACCCTGGGGGCCTCTTCCCTGGTCCCCTACAGAGGGGACTCAGGATCCCCCGTGTCCCAACCATTTGCCACCAAAGCTTGTGGTTTAGCATGTGAGACTATCAATACAAAAGGAGCCAGTGGCCCATACCTGTAATACCAGCTGAGTCTGAGGCAGGAGCATCACAAGTTCTAGGCCAGCTGGCTACACAGGGAGGCTCTATCTCAACAGTAACAAACAAAAATTCTATGAGTTTCCCTACAACCAAGATCAGGGAAGCAGTATTTCCCTAGACAGTATCTTTCAAAATACAACTCATGAAATAGCACAGAAGCACTAGATTGAGAAGAGCCTGGAACTACATCTTCCACTGCTGGGGGCCTGGGCCAGAGGCCTGGGCCTTTCTTTCCTGGTACTTGGTTCTGGGTGGGAGCACAGCATCCACTCAGCTGGGAAAGGGCCTCATGACCTTCTGCTCCTGGCCTTTCATCCCAGGCTCTGCAGACACCACCTACTGAGTGTGGCCAGGGTGGGCCCCTTCTGTGCTGTCTGGTCTGATGGACAGCTGAGAAGGAGGGTGCATCAGGTTAATAGAAGATGGCTGTTTAACAATCCAGGGTATAATCAGTGGTGAAACCAAGGCAAGGAGATCCAAAGCACTGGAGCCATGGGCTGGGAATGTGGCTTAGTGGTATGGTGCTTGCCCGGCTTGCAGGAAGCCCTGGGTTTGATTCCTCAGTACCATATAAGTAGAAAAAGCCGGAAATGGTTTTGTGGCTCTCAAGTGGTAGAGTGCTAGCCTTCAGCAAAAGAAGCCCCGGGTCAGTGCCCAGGCCTGGCAAAAACGAAGAAGAATGAGTTGGACGAGAATTCTAAGTTTGGTGACAGTTGTCTTACTGAGGTAGAACCAAGAAAAATAAGAAAAGGGGGAAATTCTATATAGCTAGCAGAATAGGGTCAAACTTGAAAGCCAGGATATCTCTGTAGAGAAAACCTCTAGCATAGTCAATAAAAGGCGAAAGTGGAGGGCTGGGAAGGTGGCTCAGTGGTAGACTGCTTACCTTGCATGCATGAAGCCCTGGGTTCGATTCCTCAGCACCACATAAGCAGAAAAAGCTGGGAGTGGCGCTTTGGCTAAAGTGGTAGAGCGCTAGCCTTGAGCTGAAGAACTGAGGGACAGCGCCCAGGCCCACAGTTCAGGCCCCACAACTGACAAGAAAAAGAAAGTCAAACGTTCAGAGATAAAGGCCTGGGTAAATTAGGGGGTTAAATACTCAGTTGCTACAATTTGGTAAATAACAGTGAAACACACAAAGAGAAACAAAAAAAAAACTGGAATGTGGTTTGATTTTGGGTGTGATAAGTAAGAAGTTTGGAATGTGTTCTGGTCAATATCAATTAAACCAAAAACACGAACAAAGGGAAGATCTGGGATAAGCACTCTGCCTTTATGACTTACTGCCTTGGATAATTGAATTGTAATCACCATCTGCAATCACTAACTGCTAGGCCTGTTTCTGTACCTTGCTTCTTTGCCCATTTCAAAACTACCACTAGCTACTTGTGAGTGGCTCCTTGTGGGTTTCTCCTATATAAGCCTACCCTATGTTGAGCTCCGGGCTGTTCTTCACTGTCCTGATAGTGGAGAGCAGTGAACACTGCTAATTAAGATTCCTAGCCTGATTGACTGTGTTGGGGACTCCTTTCACCAATTGTGGGTTTGAGTCCCACCAGCCCTGGGAAATTGGGATACTTCACTGCTGCTAACTAGAACTTGCCCAGCACTGTTAGCAGCACCCAGGAGACTGATCACTGTAAAACTCACCTGATAAGAACTCCCTCCCGTAGTGGCAGGAGAGGCTGCCGGAATACCTGCAATGGTGGAAGAAAATGATGGGCAGTGGAGTAATACAGACCTACAAGGTGAAGATTTTCTCACAAACCAGCACATCTGACTGATTTGGATCACTGCCATCTCTAAGCCCATCCCATGCCCTGAGTTCCACCCACACAGTTGTCTTAGTCCTTGGAAGCTCCAAGGTACAACCTTTAGGACAATTTGCGACCTCCTCTCCTGCCTCTCTAATACCTGCAACTTCCTCTCCTGTGGTTGTCCTTGATAGTTGAACTCAGAACCTTGTCCTTAGTTTTTGAGATAGCATGTGGGTTTTTAATTTTTTTAATTATTATTCTAAAGGTGATGTACACAGGGGTTACATTTATGTAAGTCAAGTATCAAGTACATTTCTTTTTTTTTGGGGGGGGGGGGGGGTGGGGGCGTCTGATCGTGGGGCCTGAACTCTGGGCCTGGGTGCTGTCCCTCAGCTCTTTAGCTCAAAGCTGGTGCTCTACCACTTGAGCCACAGCGCTACTTCCAGCTTTTTTCTTTTTGCTTATGTGGTGCTGAGGAATCGAACCCAGGGCCTCAGGCATGCAAGGCAAGCGCGCTACCACTGGGCCACCTTCCCAGTCCCATCAAGTACATTTCTTTTTAAACAATGTCACCCCTTCTCTTGCTCTCTCCCAGTTTTTCCCTCCCATCCCCATGATTCATTTTCAGCATAGTTAGGATATAGTTTTTGCCTAGTCTAACCACAAACTTATGAACTTCCTGCCTCTCCCTCCTGAGTAGCTAGGATTATAGTATGAGACACCAGCTTCTGAATTCTTTTTTTTTAATTTATTTATGAACATTGTTACAGGTCATTTTTCCAATATATCACAATAATACAGTGACATTAGGAGCAAAAGCAATAACAATCTCTTCTTGTTAGATGCTTATTGAAACTTTAGTATTTGTTGTATTGTTTATTTTATTCTTCACTACTGCTGTGATTTAAGTATTTCATTACCCCCACTTCATTAGTGAGCAAATTAGAGTTTTTAGAATTTATTTTCTAAATTTACACAACTTTTAGCTTTTAGTCTAGATTTCTCGACACAAAGTCTGTGGTAGTAATTTTTTTTTAATTCATACCCTCAGTTTACTGAGCAT